ACTCTGCGTCAGACCAGAGGCGACTCACAGGAATAAGAGTCAGAGGATGTTTGGCATCGCCGCCGCCGTAGATGTTCTTGCTGTTCAGACAAGTATGAGCCAAATCATTACCGCTAATGGAGACGGCTCCCACTCAGAGCTCAGCTAATGTCCGATGCTCTGACTGCCAAAACCGTAGGTGGTGAAAACTGATTGAATGAGGCAAGCTGAGTTAGCAGCCCTGATTGTGGGAGATGTGAGGCTGAGGAAACGGATGAGGTGATGGAACAGCAGAATCAACGTGAAGCTCTGAAAAACTGTGCAGCTTCATTCATTTAAAGGGACTTTACAGACTTTTGAATTTTTATGCTCGCGATTGCCCCCTCAGGCCAAAAGCATAACGACAGTTTCAATAGTAGGCCTGTGCACGAGGCGCGCATGCTGTACGTGCACACTCCTTAACGAAAATAACAGCTGAGACAGTCCCTTGTGTGTGTGTGTGTGTGTGTGTGTGTGTGTGTGTGTGTGTGTGTGTGTGTGTGTGTGTGTGTGTGTGTGTGTGTGTGTGGCCTGGAGGAAAGAGGACAGGAGAACGTGCAGCTAATTAATTAAATAATTTGGTTCTGTACCTTTCTCTTCAGCACAGCCGACAAAGGTTTATGATGGGTCAGTCCTCCTGCATGCTCAGATCATTCCCTTCCCTTGCTTGAAAAATTGTTCCAAAATGAAAGTTGAACCCACATCTTTTTTATCTGTGAATTCAATGCCATTCAGCGAGTCTCAAATAAAAATTTGGGCATCTTACTGTAAAAAAATATACCATTAATGTAAAAAAGAAACTCTAAATAAACTATGTTCACACCCAGAATCAAACCCAGGTCTTCTGCACGAGAGTCCGACGTCTTACTAGGTGAGCTAAAGCACCAGTGGCATCTTTTGTATCTGTAACATTTATATCCTTGATGGCAGCTGAAACAACGTTCAAAGAACGGTTTGGAGCAAAAATGGCTATTTTGTTGCTAATTTGCAGGAAATATCTAGAAGAAAGTTCTCCAGAAAGTAGCTAAGGGTCCTCAGAAATGTAGCTAGCTTTGTCACTAGGCGTTAGGAACAGCGACAAAGAAGAAGAAGAAGAAAATATCATTTCTATAGCGCCTCTTAAATCACGAGGCGCTTCACAAAAACAAAAAAAATGTAAAAATATAAAAAGCATTTAGAAAATGTTTAAAAATATATTTAAAATAAGCAAAAATAGGCAATTGGGATTTAAAAGAAAAAATGTAAAGAAAGAGAGAGAGTGAACAGGAAAGAGGGAAATCAGTGGATCCTGAGGAAGGTGGAATAGGTGGGGAGAGCAGAATAAAGAGAGAGAGGTGAAGAAGGTCATACAAAAGCCAGCTTGAACAAGTGAGTCTTCAGCTGCTTTTTAAAGGAGACCACTGAGTCCACTGATCTCAGGCTCAGGGGGAGAGAGGTCCAGCGTCTGGGGGCCACATCAGCAAATGGCACTGCCTCTCTCTCTGCTGCTAAAGCTACAGATAGCAAATGCTACGGGCGATGCCTGAGCGTGAACGCGCATGAAGCAGCCTGCTCGACCCGAGCATCTCTCTTTTTCTGTGATTTTACAGAAAAACAGGCAATCACAGTAAAAATGCCAGGGATCATTCTACAGGACCAGGGCATTGCAGGAGAATGTATGAAGAAGAAATTTATTATTTCTATACATGTTTTGGCTGTCAAACTTCCATAATGCCCCTTTAAACCAGTTAGAGGGTTAAATTGTTCGAGGTGTCTATCGTGAAGCAAGACAAAAATCATGGATTTGATCCTTCACATTTAAGTCATTCTGGGTTTTAAACTAATGCAGATTTTAGGGAGTTGAATCCTAGGCCTCTTACAGTAAAGCACGGCAGAGGTTCTACCATGATGTGGGGCTGGGTTGCCCTGCTTCTACAAGCTTTATATTCATCAGGAAATCACAACATTATCACTTCAGACAGGCTAATGCTTTACTTAAAAAATAAATAATGCTCTCAGACTGGATTCAATCAGACCTAATTTTAGAATTAAGATCATCCAAGTTTGTTAAAATTGGTAAATAAGTGAATTAAAGAGGTCCTTTACTGCATATTTTTAATATATTTGCAGGGCTCTCTAGTAAGAACGGATGCCTTGTAAGTCGTTCTTTGGGGAAAAATAGCTCCTGTGCATCTGTTCCAGGAACTTGAAGTGAGCTACAACAGGAATGAGCATCAGACGGCAGGATTTGGAGTCTTATTTCATGATATGTGGACATCTCACCTCTGATTGGCGAACAGCAACACAACTTTACCGCTGACTCAATTTGCTCTGCAATGTTGATTTATCTCCACAAATAGCACAATCCTGGAGGAGTTCTGCTGTGTGGTGGTGTTGCTAATGCTAACAGTTAGCTTCTATTAGCTGAGACGTCCTCTGCTGTTACCTGGATGCTAAAACATCAACAGCCTTCCCCGTCACGTGTCAAGATGGGTGAGTCCATGAATGTTAAGTGACGGTGTGACGTAGATCCGTCAGGATTTTCTAATCCTAGAGTTTCACCGCCTGTTTTTTATCAGACGCTAATGCAGGAGATAGGTGTAGGAGACTTTTTTATGTGAAGTGCCTTGAGACGACTCTTGTCGTGATTTGGCGCTATATAAATAAACTTGAATTGAATTGAATTGAACTATTTTCATGGTCAGCCTGCATGAAAAACTCAGAGTGACTGATCATTTCCGATATTAAAGTTTAAAATTACAGTGTGTAGTTTCCTGGCGCTAGAGGACAATACATACTTACACTTTTAGGGTAGTTTCACACCAAATCCTAACGGTGACTAGGGATGGGTACCTTTGACATTTGAATCGATTCGGTACTAATTCCCGGTGCCTAGGAATCAATACCGGTACTTAACGGTACCAATTTTCGATACTTTTGAGTGTTTAATATTTTAATTCTCTTTTATAATTAAATACATAATTTTCTCAATATATAACCATATTTGACAAATATCATGATAAATAACATACAACTGTTTGTATTTTAACATCGTCCTTGTAGTTTTATAAGCTGATAATTAAACTGAAGCAAACGTCTTTACTGTGAACTAAATTTACTTTTAGTAAAGTGCATTTAGTAAAGTGAAGCCAAACTTTAGAGCGCGTTCATGTTCTAGTCGGAAATTCGGAGTTCCGAGGAGAAAGCGCACACACCATTAGCGAAACGGAAGCTAACATGTCAACATTTTATTTACCTACCGGAGCAGATTAAGATGAGGATGTCTCACTTAGATCGTTGTCACTGGTTTCATCATCACCCAGTTACCCATCACATTTAGTGAAGTGGACCCAAGCTTTAGCGTGCGTTCTTTCTACCATGCTACTCTGTTTACAACTGGTTCGCAGCGACCGACGACATAACGCTCTTGCGCATGCGCAGCTGTCTAGGCAAGTTCTCTTTATGAAGGACGGGTACCGAAACGAGGCACCGTTTCAAATGACGTGAATCGGTGCTCAGTCGGTACTATGGAATTCGGTCAGTACCTTAAAAAGTACCGAATTCGGTACCCATCGCTAACCGTGCCTGTCGCTAGTTTAAAACAGATTATGGCAAATGTTGTTTCCTGTGGAGCAGAAAGCATGATGCACCTCTGCATGACTCCGATGGTCCTTCAGTTAATCCAATCGAAAGAGAGCAACACTGAATCTAGTTTTCTGGCGCTGTCGTTTCGGGATCTGCTCGGGGTCCTGCGCCTGCCGATTACGTCAACATACTACGGTAGTACCACTTGGCCAAAATATATTGCATCTCTTTTTCCATTATTGTCTTTCACATAGGTTTTGGAAAGAGTTTAGCAGTTTTGTTATTAAATTCATGTTTCTTACTAGCTAAATGTTTTTGAACGTAATAACGTAACGTCATCAACAGGCGCAGGACCCCGAGCCGGCAAGAAGGAAACATAGTGTCTAATAAGGACCTCCCCCGAAGATGTTAGACCCACGCCCTATGTACCTTAGATCCCGTTTTTATGGTTGTACGTTACGAAGCCGCCAATATTTTTCCAGCAACAGGACATCATTTTATTAATTTTCAACCACTTTTCAATGAAATTAACAGTAAAAACTACACATTTTCCCTTTAATGCCAATATTGACCAATATTAATAGTAGACCAATAATATTGGACATCCTTTATTATATGCATACCTAACATATTAGAAATAAATGTAATCCTGTAAAGAAAACCAAAACTTTTTAGTTTAATTTCTCTTTGATTATCAATTTTGATTTAATTCAAACCTTTTTAGCTCATTTCCTCTGGAAAAGTTCTAAATTAAAACAAAATTTAAGGTTTAGGCTGTAAAAATGATCAAATATGACCTCTTGCCATATAAAAGGTAACAAAACCATCACCTTCAGTCTCATGTTTATATTTTATTTTTACTATTAACTGTTTTTTTAACTCATTGCTGAAGAACAGCACAGTTCACCCTCATTAGGTGGATAAAGATCTGTGTTGGTCTGCTGACAGAACCCAACCCGGCCTGTTTTAACGGGTTTAAGATGCAATAACAGCTCAGTTTTTCCTGCTAATTAGATCCAGAAAGGTCTGAGCTGGGTTATATGTTTGACTGAGGAGATTTTTCTTCTTTATTATTATTAGTTTGTACTCCGTCAACCTGCAGCCTTAACATTAACAAGCCTTTAAGCCATTTAAAGGTTTAATAGGCAGGTTCTCCTGAGACATCCCAAACTTTTCAGTGTTTCCTAAAGTGCTGCCTGCAGACCTCGTGAGTGACACAGCGTTTTACAAAAAGTTCTGCAAACAAAATTAGGAACAACCTCGTGAGACAGAGATGATCACAAAGAAATCTATAATTCATTTATTAGAAAAGCTGTTCCGCCCTCCCCCGCCCGCCGGAGCGTGGCAGCGCTCCAAGATTCCTGTAAAGTTAAAAGTGGCACCGGGACGAGCTCAGAAACAATGAAGAGTCACCGTACCTGCTGGGAGATGGCGTAGCCAATGACGATGTCACCCTGAGGGATGTTCCAGGTCACCATGGCCGAGTGTGCCCTCAGCTGGGTCACAGAGATGTTCACGGGTGCCGCTGGCACGGCTGGAAGCACAAAGACACAAACAAGTGTCAGTGTGATGGACAGGACCCCATCCCACCTGCCTGCTGGGACCTGTTCTGATCCCACTCTGACATCCGGTTACAGATGGGTGATGAATTGGACCTCTGACACTTACAGTACGACTCTAACAGAGACGTCCCTGTGTGCTGAATCATTAAACGTCTCCAGTTGGAGACCATTAGAAGATGAAACATCCCTCCATCAGCCGAGTTAGAAACGACTTTACCTCTCCTGGGAAAATCCATCCATTAAAGATGGCACGTGAATAACGAGCACTGACCTCATGGGCTTTTAATAAAGACGCAGGATGAAGAAGTTAGTCCTGTTTTAGCTGAAATCTATTTATTAGAGGCTGGAAGCCTGAAGAACGAAGCAGACTTTCAAAAAAAATTTAACAAAATATAAAAAATTAAAAAGACAGAAATGTTTGTTGGAGGAGGTCAAGCAAACAACTCAATGTGCTAATTATTAACATTATTAATAATAAAAATTATATTAACAATATATTAGATTGATTTAGCTCTCTTCTAGACACTCAGAGCACTTTCTATTATAAACTCACTCACACATTTACATGCTGTCATGATAAGCTACCACAGCTGGGTGGTCTGATGGAAGTGAGGCTGCCATTCGCTCTGACCGCCAACATAGGCAAGTTTAGTGAACGGCTGTGTCCCCGCGAGAGCTGGGATCGATCCTACGATCCTTGGACCACTAGACAACCAGCTTTACCCCCTGAGCTACTGCTGCAACTAAAATTAATTAAGTCAAATGATGTTATTAATAATAAACATCATTAAAATTGCAAACAAGAGTGTTTGCTATGAAAGTAAAATGACTACAAAATGAAAACATAAAGAACGAGGGTGAGCACATAAATCAACCCTGTGATTAGAAAAAAAGAGAAAACCGCCTATGGCAAGTAAAAAGGAGAGAAATTCCACAGGATTTTCTAATAATTTTCAATACTTTTTTGTTATAACGGAAAATAACATTGAAGTGTAAAGAAAACCTAGAAAGACAGAAATGTTCTAACTGCTTCCAATGTCACATTTGGGGTTGTCATGGTAACAACCAGTGGCTTGTTAAGGTCACGGAGAACTAAGTTCGTGAGAGATTTCTGCTAGCAACTCAGACTGCTGGCCATACAGACGGAATTATTCCAGTGCTGAATCTTCGTCCCCAGTCCCCAGTCCACTCCTAGGCCATCAAACCTTTGTGGAAATATAACTATATTCCTTCCTATGAAAGAAATTTAGAATATTCGTATAAATGGTCAAAATCCTGATTTATAAAACCTTCGGTGGCCTCACGTTCCTCTGCAATCGGCTGTTGATGAATCCCACCTGTCCGTACCCAGGTGCCCATGTCCGTTCACAGTCACTTACATACAGAAACATCCTCAATTAACCATATTTGGTCACACCATCTTCAGCTCATGTGGGGATTTCCTGGGTTGCAGAGGTTGTAAATGCTGTCGGCACAGAGGAGTGGTCCCCGTCAGAAAAAAAAAGTTGAATAAGATCAATCATAGCAGGTTGTCATTTACATTTTACATTTACGGAGTTGTTCTGTTTGGAGTTAGTTGTATTTGAAAATGACTGTCAGTTGTTACCGGAATTGTTCCAATTTTTTTTATTTCCAGTCCACCGACCAGAAGAAGAATCTGATCTCTGTTAATATCTGCCAAACTTTTACTCCGTGAGCTATGACGTGATGTAAAGTTTGCATACTGCAGCGAAAAATACGGCACGGAGGAAGCTCGTAAAACTGCGTCAGCACAGTGGACTTCATACGAGTTTTAAAATACAAACTCTGGGCGGTGCAAGGCGAGTTTTCATGGCTCACTGCATGAAACGACACAAAAACACACAGAGCATCAACTGTCAAATGCAGCTCCACTCACTCGTCTGTATGAGTGTGACCGTCAGAACACTGAGCAAATAACCCTCTCTGTGGTGGATGACACCGGGTTCTGGCCATAATAATAATAAATCTCACGCAAAGTTGTGACATTATTGTTGTTATTATTTATGACAAATTTAGTCTGTTGAGAGTTTTGATGTTTAAATCGGTTACATTGTTACTGACAGCTGCCACATTTAAGTTTCAGTTTGTCTTTTAAAGGGGAACTAGGCAGTTTTGGCTTGCTTTTAGCACCCCCTAATGTCTGTTTAGTAGAACTGAAAGCAAAACTTATGTCCTTGCTGTGCAGCAGAAATGTCTCCCCAGCCTTCATTAGTGTCTACAGGAGTGATTCATCACCAAATGAAACAAATCAGCTGTGTTCATGATCTGAGACGTGCAGACTCCAGTGCCAGGTATTTCAGAGCAATTTTTTTTCTAAGTCCAACAGACCTGGGGCCTCATTTATCAAGCTTGCTTACGCACAAAACGGGGTCGGAAAACTGCGTAGGCGACTTTCCACGCAAACTTTGGGATTTATGAAAGAAAACTTAGCGGAAAAATGTGCGCAACTTTAAGTTGACCTTCCATTTTTATCCAAAGTCATGGAGAAAATAGTGGCCATCCAAGTATGTGAGCATTTAAACACTAATGCTCTGTTTGAGGAATTTCAGTCTGGTTTTAGAGAGTATCACAGCACTGAAACTGCATTAGTGAGAGTTACAAATGATATTCTCATGGCCTCAGATAAGAATCTTGTGTCTGTTCTAGTCTTGTTAGATCTCAGTGCTGCCTTTGACACAGTAGATCACAATGTTCTTTTAGAAAGACTTGAACATGTTGTAGGGATCAAAGGAACAGCGCTAGGCTGGTTTAAATCCTACCTGTCTGACAGATTTCATTTTGTAAATGTACATGACAAATCGTCTTCATACTCCAGGATTACCTGTGGAGTACCACAGGGTTCAGTGCTTGGACCAATTCTTTTTACTATGTATATGCTCCCAATTGGTAAAATCATTAGACAGCATGGGATAAACTTCCACTGTTATGCTGACGATACTCAGTTATATTCATCCATTAACCCTGATGAACCTAATCGGTTGGGTAGATTACAGGCTTGTCTTGAGGACATAAAAAATTGGATGACTAAACTTTTTGCTTTTAAATCAAGACAAGACTGAAGTTCTCATATTTGGACCAGAAATCCAGAAAAGGAAATTGCTTAGCCAATCACCTGACCTGAATGGCATTACATTAATCTCCGAGAACAAAGTAAGGAACCTTGGTGTTATCTTTGACCAGGACATGTCATTCAAATCCCAGGTTAAACAGGTTTGTAGGATTTCCTTTTTCCACCTTCGGAATATTGCTAAGATTAGAAGCATCCTTTCCAGGAGTGATGCTGAAAAACTAGTTCATGCATTTATTACATCAAGACTGGATTACTGTAATTCATTACTCTCAGGAAGTCCACAGAATGTAGTTAAAAGTCTTCAGCTTGTCCAAAATGCTGCAGCTAGAGTTCTGATGAGAATTAAAAGGAGAGATCATATCTCTCCTGTCTTAGCTTCCCTACATTGGCTACCTGTTAAATTCAGAATAGATTTTAAGATCCTCCTTCTCACATATAAAGCTCTTAATAATCAGGCTCCATCATACATCAGTGATCTGATTGTTCCATACGTTCCTAACCGAGCACTTTGCTCTCAGACTGCAGGTTTACTGGTGGTTCCCAGAATATCTAAAATTAGGATGGGAGGCAGATCTTTTAGTTATCAGGCTCCTCTCCAGTGGAACCAGCTCCCAGCTTTAGTCCATGAGGCAGACACCTTGTCTACTTTTAAGTCTAGGCTTAGGGTTAAAATCTGATGTTAGCTTAGATCTGGACAAGTGGGGGAGTACAGGGAGGTGGAGTGTACGGTCGGTAAAGACGGCTCTCCCTTGCCCTGCCTCCAACATGCCTCCATCTAAATAGGATAGATTATTCTGAGTTATCTCTGTAGTTATGCTGCTATAGGCTTAGACTGCTGGAGGATACACTGACCACTTTTCACACTCTACTGCTTTCTTCTACAGTCTGCTCTTTAACTGTATTATTTTCTGCAATTTCAGCTGTTAACTTTATTTTCTCTCTCAGTGTTTTTCTCCCCAGAAGAAGCTACAATGTTCTGCTGAGCTGTGGTGGCCTCATGGAGGGGGCCATCGACTAGCACACTGCTGCTAACCGCTTAAACATTCTCCCTCTCCTGATAATAACTTTTTGCTTTCCTTGATGTTGGATGTGCTACTACTAGTTTATCCGTTTAATTATAGATCCACTAGGATAAATACAATAAAGTTTATCTCTCACCAAATATAATGAATATTTACTAAGAAATCACAATATAACTATAGACACATTACTTTGTCTGTGTGTGTGTGTGTGTGTGTGTGTGTGTGTGTGTGTGTGTGTGTGTGTGTGTGTGTGTGTGTGTGTGTGTGTGTGTGTGTGTGCTCTGTCTTCTCAATCCCCAGTGAGTCGTGGAGGATGGCTGCTTATACTGAGCCAGGATCGTCTGGAGGTTTCTTCCTGTTAAAAGGGAGTTTTCCTCTCCACTGTCGCTTTATGCTTGCTTAGTATGAGGATTGCTGTAAAGTCACTGACTAGTGTCAGTGACTTGATACAATTTGCTGGGTTCCTTATATAGGAAACATTATTTCTGATTGGCTTAATGAACTGACCTGAATTGGAATGTTTATTATGTGAAGTGTAGGGCTGTAGCGAAGCCTCGACGAAGTCGACGGCTCGATTCTAAAAATTTGTCGACGTCAGATCCGGAAGTCGACGCACCGCGCCCACTTGTTGCATCCCCAGGAGTTTGTAAATAGAAGAGGAATCTGCCTGTTTTTCCTCTAGTTCGCCCTCTTCTCCGCCTTCACTAACATCTCCGCCAAATACCGAAGACCCGGAACAACGTCCGTCCACTACTAGATTATTTTCCTGTTTTGCCCCTTCGTCTCCCGGCAACGGACAACAACTTCCGGGGTCAGATGCGCTGCTCCGTGTCTATCGCAGATGTAGAAAATCACCGGG